CTTAACGTTGGCCAATTTACATCATCCACTCAGTTGATGAAACCAAAGTATGGAGTATATGAATACTGATGTTAGGATGTACCGGGTTAACAAAAGAAAAAAAAAAAACAAACAAATTCACTCACCACAATTGTACTTACATTTCTTTTGTGCCGGGCCATAACAGGAGAGTTTTCATTGGATTTGCATTGTTTATCAGCAGGAGGGGGAGAAAGACTCTGTGCTGAGATTGGCGTCATCAAACTCAATTTGCTGATGTCTGGTTCACTGAGCATTCGTCTGCCATACAAAACAATAATAACAACGACAACAACAGACGTTACATCGAGCGCTTTTCGATTGAGTGTCGTAAAGCCACAACCAAAGTAATCACCATGGCCAATCAAATGAAAGGAAAATACCTGGATGAGCCATTGAAAACTAAAAAGTAAAAACAACTAGGCTGTCTAAAGCGCGGGAAAACGCGGCAGACCATTGGTTTCAGATTTGCTTCTGATTGGTTGAGAGAGTGACGTAAGTTGTAAGACCAATCACGGAGCGAAGTAAAGCAACCTCGGACTACTTACGACGCTCAATTAAAAATTGCTCTAAACGAATTTTTGGAAAAATGTTGATAAGAAACACTTAGTGAAAAGAACTACGTGAGGACATCATGAGCCGTTTTAAGCGTCACAGGGAACAAAGCGCATTTCAGTCAAGTAATCTGAGTAATTACAGCGCTTAATCAAGACAAAGGAAAAGATCACAAGGAGGAAATTGAAACTCTAAGAAAAAACAAGAAATGCAGGGAAACGCGAAAGGAAGACGCGATTGGTCGCAGTTTTACATTTGATTGGTAGAGAAGGATGCGCGAGTTTTCTCAACCAGTCAAAGAGCAAAGTAATATAAAGCCAATGAAATCCTGCGCTACTTTTGACAACTCAATTGCAAATTGCGGTTAAAAAAACATTGCAACAACCGTTCTCTCGATAGATACCATGGTAAGGGTAGTCCAAAAAGAAGAGAGGATTGTTAAGGATACAGACGATTCACACGGACTGCAAATAACCACCCTAAACCCTTCAGGCTTAATCTTTTTAAGATGGAAAAGACGAGGCTGGCTTTATGACACAAATCAAAAACGAACGATGATAGTTAAAATGGAGAAGGTGAAACCTTCATATTCCGCTTTTAAACGCTTGAATATGTAGCGCAAATAATTTACAGCGAAATTGGATGCGCACCTGATTTTGGTGTCCTTCTTCTTTTTGGTATATTTAAGTTCCACTCGTTCAACCTTACAGGACCAGTGGTAGCTGTGGAAAGTATCAAAAATATACAAAATGAATCATTGAAGCTAAAAACATTAATGAAAGGACTGGTAGTCGTTAAATGTTGGCTGCGCGCTATTTTTGCAATAATTGCAATTTGTGAAAAGTTCAAGTCAAAATGAAGCTTTCCGCACTGAAAGCAGTGCTTCACTTCGTTTAATCAGTTTTCCAGTCAGTTTGTGAACACACAAAATCTCCAGAGCAGAAGATTTAACCTTGGATTTGACATAAGTTAAAATCAGCTAAACTCCTTTTCAATTTTAGGCTGACTTTGGAAAAAACGCATCTGCTCAAGTGATTTTATTGTAAACCATTCTTCAGCACTACAACTTAAAATGTTCTACACAAACTCCCACACTCGGGCACAGTCTTCTAATATGGTTATTCTAAGAATTCCGCCAGTTTCAGCCTCCACAGAATACTGCTGACAGTCAGCTTTTCTCCCGATATGGGACGATCGAAGAGCGAAAGCTTTGGGCGGGAGGAGACAAAAACCAGACATTACACCCAGAAATTTTACCTGTTACCCTCGACTTTGTGAGCTCGACCCAGTTTTACCTAGAGATCCATTACAGTCGAACCTCGATTGTCCGGACTCGTTGGGACTAGACGAAATAGTCCGGATAATCAAGGGTCTGGATAATCGAGAATATGAATATTAATGAAGAACAAAAACCGATTAAATTAAGAATGCGACAGTTAATCCTGAAACAAAACACTTACAAATTGTTTTGAAAAAGATATGGTCTACATCTTCACTGTCCTCCGTGAATACCTCTACACGTGTGTATTAACAATTACAATTAATGACAAATTTCTTTACATTGGCCTAAAGTGTTGAAGTAAGTCAGATTGCCTTAAGGTTACCGTGCACCTTCAGGGGTGTCTCGCGTGCAAGCGATGAAGCGCGTCCGGTTTAAACTGTGATATCTAAACCCCTATATTAAATTAAAGCTTATAGAACTGGCTATCAGACTATACCAAAACTTTAGAAAAAAATGAATTGTCGAATTTTTCACAACTTCTAAATGCGAGCGCCCGAATCACCTTTTGAACGTTACATGTTAAAGCGAATTTTGTTTTTCGCTTATTTAATGTGTTCCTCCGTTTCCGGGGCCAAAGCGCTAAAAAAACGTGACTGCGATTTGCCATATTCAATTTCAGTGAAAAGTTACAGAACATTTTTGAAATAGGATTAAAAAAATGTGGAGTGATCGTACAAAAATCGCTCTTGAAAAAACCGTATTTAGAAATAAAAAATTCGGAGACACGTTTTTGTTGTTTATGCGTAAAACTAGCTACTGTCAAAATTTGAGAGCAATCGAACAAATTCCCTTTGACTTGTAGCTCTTAAAAGGTGATTCGGGCGTTCGCATTTGGAAGTCGTGAAAAATTCGACAATTCATTTTTTTTTTCAAAACTTTTGGTATAGTCTGATAGCCAGTCCTATAATCTTTAATTGGATATAGGGGTTTAGATATCTACAGTTTAAACCGGACGCGCTACATCGCTTGCACGCGAGACACCCCTGAAGGTGCACGGTAACCTTAAAGAAGAACATCGCCTTTCCTTCCCTTTTCAATGCTGTAGTTTTAAAAAGAATATTGCTACAGATCTTGATTATGACTAATAAATATTCATGAAAAAATTGGGAGCAGAGAAAAAGTCCCGATAATCGAGATATCCGGATAATCGAGGTTCGACTGTACTAACCAAACAATGATTCACCACGTGAACTAACCTCTCTGATTCTGTAAATGTCTTGATGTTATCAAACCAACGTCGAAATTTCTCATCCTGGACAATTATGTAATTCTTCGCCGCTTCTTGAAGCAGCTTTATTTGAGCGATTACTTCAAACTCCTGAAGGGTTTAAAGTACATACAAATCAATTTTACCCTCACAAGGCTCAAATAAAGAGCAAACATCTTTACTCAACTCACCTTTCTTCTTTTCTCAAAATTAATCAAGCCATCCTAGAAAAAGAAAGGAGAACGTCTTTGGAAAATTCATGAATTTGTTCACATTTTACTGAATGCAAAAGGTAAGAATAAGTTTGTAGATTGTGAAGTTAAGACACAAACAATTCAAGTGAAAGGCACCACGCTGATACAACACCAGCCCCATCCCAACCAAACTTCACCCTCCCCTTCCCCCTCGGAAATTTCCCAGGTTTACCCAACAGTTACCAGGTTGGATTGACCACTTCGAGCGCTATGTTTCTTGCTTAAACACGAAGGCGCGCTATATAAGGAAGTCTTCCCTGGGAAGACCTAGGCTCATTTGTCACTCACCGTTGACGAATGCGGGTCAAATTTAAATGCTGGTTGACGAACAAAAGGAGCTAATGAGAAATCTATTGTTTACTTCCACCAGCATGGTGGTATAAGGTAACGTGCGAACCACCTACTTCGATCTCAAATTTACCGCCACAAATAAAGACAGTTTCCATTGGAGAAAGGAAATACTAATCTCAAAAATTCTTGTATTGTGATGAAGACAAAAAACAATTTTGAGGAATGCGCCCGCTGTTCACTGCTTTGGAGTAGCTGTAGCTCAAGCTGACTCGACTCTAAGAGTTCTACATCACACGACGGTTGATTGACAAATGGTCCAGTGGGACCTAAGGCTCCTTTAAGAGCGCGCCTTCGTGTTTAACCACTCTGACCCTAGATCCAGAGTCCAGAGTTACGAGTCCAGTCCAACATTTGATATAAAATACGGTGGCATAGGTAATATTGTGGCTTATGTAATAAGGTGGAATAATGATGCTCAGTTCCTCTCACCTCAGTGAAATCTTGATGGGCTGCATCTAACATCATGAGGTCGGTTAGAAATGTGCCCAAGTAGGGAACCGTTCCTTGGATAATTCCCTGACAAAACAATAAATATATATACATGTACAAACATCTTACACAAAGAAGAGGGAGGAATTCAATTTTTCGGTTTTCTGAATTCGGTCAAAACCAGTTTTCTGAATTTTCCACCTCTTGCTTACAAAATATTATGTTTTTGGAGCAGGTGAGAACTCTTTGAAGAATTCTTAGTATCGGCTGTTTTCGTATATTGTCTTCCAATATCGACAGTTTTACAAAAACAACATTCTGTCATTTTCTGACCGGAGGTAACTCAAAAGAACGAAAAATGATCAACAACTATAGAAGCTGTTGATTGTTAAGGAAATTCTTCTTGTCAGCACCTTCAGAAATGTATAAAGAACAGTATGGAGAATATGCATACTGATGTTAGGGTGTAAAGGGTCATTGAGCGAGTAGTTATGTGCTAGGCTCGATTTCCACCACTCTCTCGAGTCCGGTCTTTTCCGTTCCTCCCCGAGAAGAGAGAGGAGCGTGGGCTCTGGTTCCCGAACAGTGGCTAGTAATCGAGCCTAGTTCTTATCGCAATACAAATCAAGACGAGGGTCGGTTTTCTTTCCGTCAAATGGAATATTAAATAAGTGCTATTTAACATGGTCGGTCATCAAGATTATTATCAGAAAATTACATCGTTAATAGCAGATGTACCGCCTCAAGTTGTAATTATCAGCACATCTAACAGTTTTGCTCGAAAGATCATGATGTTGTTTCGGTGTGTAAACCATTCATAGGAGAGAAAATGATGAAACATCCACGACATCTTTCGACAAATGAAAAAAAAGACAGGCGCGTAGCGTCCTATACGCATATACGCACGTGCGTACTTGAAGTGACCAGAAAATTTTGAAATTTTTAGCAATTGTTTCTATTTTTTCGCTCAGTTTACTTAGGTCTCTAGATTATATGTACTTGTGCGTACTTGAAACAATGACCACCCTACGTGCCTGAAAGAGTTCTTATCGTCGTGGCAAGCTCCCAGTGGGCTTGCTAGCTCTGGGTTATATCGCTACTGATATCGCAGGAAGGTCTTTAGATAAAATTCTGTCCAAGATTGAATGGTGTTTTGCGGGTTTACATTTCACAACTACTTCGATTTTGTTTCTAGATTTCTTAAATGGTATCTGTCGATTGGCATATATCACTTATTCCGCAGTTCAAATATATTATTTCAATTGATTCTCTTTTGCTGTATTCACCCTTTACAGGTATAGTGCGAAAACTGACATAAACATCATTTCCTTAAAGGTTCTTTTACTAGTTCAGTTGGCTTTTTAGTTCCGCACAAGTATCGCTTGTCAATCATGGGTTCGAGTTCAGTCTAGGGTTGATCTTTTTTTTTAATTTTTTCCTTCAATTTGCAATAACTACTATTGTCATGTTTCTGACTGTGACGATCTTTCATTTTTATATTGGTTCTTCTATAGTGTTTGAGTTACGATTTGCTATAAGCTCAAAAATACTGATAAACAGGAGTCGCGCTTCCGATAGTAAATACTTCAGCTCAGAGAAACGAAACACTCAAAGAAATCTTTCGGTCTGCGTTTCATCTCTGTGATATTTCGCTATCTAAAAGCATAACTTGCCTTGTCGCCCAACTGTACTTATTGGCTCATGGACTTCCTTATATACTCAAATTTTGAATTAAAAACTTGCGTTTACAGCCTCGAGGACGATATCACTCAGCAATTTGCCACGGTTTGCGGTTTGATTACACAGTCATCACTAAAATACAAATAGTCACAAACACATTCTTTAAACTAAATTTCATTATTTTAATTTAAAAGACTTACAGCGAAAAAGACACTCTAAACAAAATGAGAGGAAACAGAAATATGCAAGAAGACAAGAGATTTTCTAATTTTAGCGAAAGGCAAATATTTCCGCGTCAGTGGTTATATAAGACTTCACCTACAAAGCAACTCTTAGGCGCACTTATATCAACTGAGGTCAGTTCCGTCATGATATCCAAAACCCATTTTCGGTTGTATGAGTGATAAAGAGAGCCGTTTTGACTTTTTGTAAGTATTTTGTCTTATTCTCTCTTTCAGGTGTAAACTCGGTTTTTCGATTTTGTTTTTAATGGAAATAATGCAGGCTGGGATTCGGGTTTCTGATGGGGAAAAATTGTGCTTCGGGCCACGTCTGAGCATTTTGACTTGATTTTTTGCAGTGAGCTTCTTTCACGTTGTGTTCGCTGTTAGCCACAAGACAGGGAGGCGCAGGTACCTAAGATGGCCGATGATCTTGCAGCAAGAAGCTTGGGACTGGTAGGCCTCGAAGGATCCTCTTTGGTCCTTTTAAACCTTTTCTCACTGGCAGGAAATATCATGGTATGCTTATCTGTTTACAGAAATCCAAGATTACGTACCCAAACTAATCTTTATATCATAGCATTGGCCGTAAGCGACTTGCTCTCCGCTGTTTTTGTGATGCCTATCGGTGAAATAATACTGTTCACAGGAAAAAGGCCGTTTGGAGAAGCTATTTGCCAAATTCACGCCTTCATGAGTCTATTTGTGCTCTACGTCTCGCCGGCAACTATGGCTTTAACAGCGGTCAACCGATATGTTCGCATATGCAGATCAAACACAAGCTACCAGAAAATATTTTCGCGCAAAAAGTCTCGTTTATGGGTCCTCTTGGTCTGGTTATTTGTGGCTAATTACATCGCAATTCCAAAACTGGCCAAATGGCAAGACTTTGAGTTTGTACCTGGTTATGCGCAATGCTCGATCAAACACCTTGGGGAAGAAGCCAAGATTATCCACTACATAATAGTTTTAACACTATTTCTTGTCATGCCACTGGTTGTCACTACTATTTGTTACACGAAAGTTCTAAAAGCTGTTCGTCAACATCTGACAGGGATTTCTCCCTCGTTAAGAGGACATAGAAGGAACGACGCACGCATTTCCATTCAAGAAATCCGACTGAGCAGATTGCTCTTCATTGTTGTTTTTACCTTTGTGGCGTGCTGGATTCCTTTGTGGGTTATCGTCATAATGAGACGTTTCTCGTTAGTATCACACATGCCAAGAAGTGTGGAACTGTTGTGCATGTTTTTCCTCTACATTTCAAACACTATCAATCCCGTCATATATGCCGGAATGAATTCTACATTCAGGAGCGAGTTTCGCCGTATCTTATCTTGTGGGTCAGAAGCTTTGTGGGCATGTAGACAGCGACGAAATGGACTACAAGAACGTGAACTTGGTCCTGTGACGCCGAAGTAAAAGGGTCTGTTCCAAAATATTGGTTCGACAACTGAAACACCTTGGGAGAATTTTTTTCTTCCATAACAATGAAAACAAAAATTTAACAATCCCTACCCGCAAAATAGCGAAGCTAATCGAGGCAGGAGGGAAATAAACATTAAAAACTCTTTAACGACAAGTTTGAATGAACCATTGAGCTGGCGATAAATTCACACCATTACCTAACTCAAACCACAAATGTCATTAACGTGAAAGATTTGTTTGTCTATCGTGGATATGATGATAAATGATTATTGAATAGTTTGTCGCGTGATTTAGAGTCACTATCTATTACAGGTCACTACTTTTCGACAACTAAACTATTAGTCTTCACCGGTCAGCCTACACTGGCTTCTAGGCTTCGCTAACTCCTTCTCTGTGATCCTTCCATGCTAACGTAAGTTTGGGAAATCTCTTATCTCGCAGTTAAAATGCTTTCCGACAGTTTTAATGGCAATGCTGAAACGTTGACGACAGTCGAAACAAAGAAAACATGAAAAATTTCGCGAATTTGTTTTCATTTTTGCGGCGTCGGAAAGAAGGAACGGGATCAATATCCAGCCAACTTGACCTCACGCTGAGTCAATTACGCATTTATTTTCACATACCTTCTCTTCATACAAGTGTGTACATGCTCATAATGACGCAGATATCCCTTCACATTTGTAGGATTTACTATGGACACTTCGGTTGCCAATACTACTTCACTCACATTTTCATTCCTTTAACTGAGTCACTTCGGAATGTTTTGACTATCTCCAAAAGAACAGTGAACCAGTGTCTATTAGGCCTGTAGTGCCATGAAATGCTCTTCGTATTCAAGACAGTTTGATTCAAAGGTATGCATGTGCTGGCAGTGTTTCAGTAATATTTGACGAGCAAATTGTTTAGTGCAAGATTGAGGTAAAACAGAACAGCACACAAACTATTGAATTGAATACACTTTGGACGTGGGAGTTTTTTTTTTTTTTTAAACAAAATCGCTTGGGCAATGCATACGTGGAGCCTTTAGAAAGGAAATTTAAAACGTACTTAAACATTAGACCATATTTAACTGGCCGGCAATATCACCCCTTAGCTACTATATTTTCATGTCCTCATCCCCTGCTCGATGAATTATTTGTGTTGATATTGTTAAAAAAAAGTTTCAAGTTAATCATATAATCAGTTTAGGTATGCTACGAGCACTCGATGCTTTTCGTCGAAGTCCGCCCGGTATACTTTTCGGGCGCCTCAATCCCAGAGTTCTACGCGGCACGCTAACATCATATTTTTTCACCGATTTTTTTTTTTTTTTTTTTTTTTTTTTTTTTTTTTTTTTGACTCGCGTAACGGACTTCGCCGAAAAGCAAGGGCTGCCCGTAGTCTTGGGTATCCGTATAGAAAGAGACCATGACACAAAGATTGCAGTTAATACAAGAAAAGATCAACAATAACCCTTGTGTTGAGGCTTTAAGCTTTACCGGCAAAGGTTAATGAACAAGTATGTCACACCGCCATAGGAACACTTACCAGGTCCATGAAGCGTGACTTTCGTTTCTTCATATTCGGCAATTTCTTTGTTGGTGAACTTTCCGGCTGCGCCCACTTTGCAGTTCCTTCCTGTTATGAACGAAAAAAAAAAACTTTTAAGCCGCTCGAGCTCCTTTGAAATCTTCCGTGGAAACAAAGTTTAGGAGGTGGTTAATGACAGAATCAATGTCTTGCAAAACCAAAAGAGCAGGGGAAGATATTAAGGAATTATTTTATTAAGGTCCAAATATTGATTCAGAAAACACACACCCTTTCCCCCAAGCAATAGTGACTGTTGTACGTTTTGTAAACTGTACCAAGACGATTGATGATTGTGTATTTATCTTTACCCAAATTTCTAAAAGGAGGAGGGAGGGAGGGGGGTTTTGTGTGCACGCCTAAATTGGCAAAAAGTGATCTTTCTGTAATACTTAATAACAAAAGCCTCCATCTGGTGCGAAAATATCCACGAATATTTAATATCCACGAACACTATTTGTTCCTAACATCAATATTCAAGAATGTGGAGCAGGAATCAGGAGCTTTTTTAGTTTGTAATCTTCTCCTTTATTCTCGTGACCTTAATGTACGATTCAGGACTCATATATTAGGAGGAAAATTTAAATTGTTTCAGCCAATACTGACCTTCATAAGAAGTTCTCTACTACTCTGCTGATTGCTGTCTTCTGAGAAAATGTTTGACAGTTCAAGAAACAAATTATGAACATCTCTGGAGGGAAACATTACGATAAACAACATTAATACTAAATGTAATGAAAAATAGCCATGATAAATGATGTTAACTCATTACACCCTAACATCAGTGTGCAAGTCTACTGCGAGGATCGAGCATCATACGTATCAGTATGCATATTCTCCATACTGTTCTCTATACATTTCCTAAGGTGCTGACAAGGAGAATTTGTTTAATAATCAAGAGCTTCTTTGGTTAGTGATCATTTTCCTCTTTCTCAAAAAGCTTAATGAGTATACCTAACTATTTTCGTTGCATTACCGCAATAGGGTAGGACTAGAACGGAACACATTCGAACCATGCGAGTAGTCCACCCAATAAATCCCACCCATCCCACCCCAGGGGAGGGCATCCATCACACTAATCTCGTGCGTGGGAAATTAACGTCTCCTACCCCTAACCTTGCAGGAGACGGGACCTCCATCTATTCGTTCCTATCCTAGAAGACTAGAATATCTAACCATCTCTTGATGTTATAAAAAGGTAGCATATTCTTCTCAATTATTTTAAGACCTTGAGTGTTGGTCCGGCCGGGGCTTGAACCCTCGACCTCCCGCTCAACAGTCCAGCTCTATCCATTGAGCTAACTGTCAGGGGTGACAGCACGAGGAAAAAAATAAATGGTAGTTGCTCTTTAATCTTGTTTTAATGCCACCTTTACACCAAGTATTTTCAAGGACCATCCGTTTTTCCTTTTTCGTTTTTGTTTTTTTTTTTTT